TAAACCAAAAATACAAAATACCTTGTTGCAATTCATTCTTATTTATTTTATTTGGTGTTCGATCTATCAATCTACTACAATTTTATTCACGCCCGTTTGCCCATCTTGGGGCGCCGCTACCCGAATGGGATTGACAATCCCTTTTACACGTCGGGTTGCGAGTATTTGTTATTTGTGTGCAGGGGATATTTACGTTGTGTTGCTTGGTTCTCCTACTGGTTCGATAACCTTGGTTTCATATCTGAGGGAAATACCTACCGCTGCTGTGCTAAATCATCCCTTCCTCTTTGGGGAAATACCGACGTAGCTTCAAGCCACCATCAGTCAGGTCCTGACGTAGGTCATATGTGTAACACGGAGCCGCTGACTCCTTGCCTCTATGGTGAGGGGGCGCGGGCCGTTGTTCGGCATAATTAGCCGCTTTGTCCCGTCCATGTGGTGGTCGGTCCTGTTGATCAGCCTGATTGTATTTTGACGGTATTGGCGCAAGGGCCTCATCGTCGAATTGTGACAGTAGCCTGCATTTTGGATAACTCTCTGTCAAGCTCTCAAAGCCATATCCTTCTTCGGCGTCTAGGACCTTAGCCATCTGTCATTGAGCGTGTCCTGTTCGGCTTTAATCTGTTATTGTTTCTTTCTCAGGCTTTGCACGGTGGCGATGAGCTGTCGCTTCAAGCATTCTTGTTCGAGGGGTTCTCTGGGACAATGAAATCTTCGTCACTGAGGCTGACATCCTCTTCGGAGACAGGTAAGTAGTTACTATCTTCTGAATCTTCGCGATCGGCGAATTCTTTCTGGGTGAATTGACCCTCTTCCTTTTCATCCTGATTGAACGCAGGCTCCACGGGGTTTTGGGGGTCTTCGGCATTATCCGGAGTGTCATTGTCTCTGGTGCCGGTGTTGCTTTCCCTTTCTCGACACGATCGTGAGCGGCGCCGCTGACGTTGACGTTTTGGTGGTTCATCGACGGGCTTATCCTCATCTGGATCCTGAATGCCATCATCGTCCTTCCTCTCAGGGGTGTCCACCATGTATACATCGTAAGTAGAAGTGGCCGTCCAACGCCCGGTGATGGGTGGGTTTTGACCTGGTTCGGCTTCGACATCATCGTCCATGCCATCGATGTCTTCAGAAGTGTAGTCTAGCATGTCAGTTAAATCCTCGACAGTGGCTATTAAGTGGGTGGTGGGTGGGACGTAAAATTCCACAGTCTCAGCCCCCCAGTTTGCAGTGGGCGTAGTTTGGGGGTGACACCTTCGTGATGGCGAGATATTGCATTAAGTCCAACGCCTCGTTTAAGAGCGAGAGTTGGACGGGCGTCTGAGGATCTGCGGATCTAGGTTTGGTGGTAACCGATTGACCGAGCCCGAAGGACGCAGACCTCAAGAGTTCAGAGTTGGTGCCCTGAGGCGAGTCCGACTTCCCGATGATGGGGAGAGTCCCATTTGATTCTGGGTCCGCCGACAAATTTCTCGCATCTGGGTCTCCGGCTAGAAGCTCCATGATTGCAAAGAGTCCGGCGGGGTTCACCCTCCCGTCTTCGGACGAAGTAGTCCGGCCCGGATCTAAGGCCGAGGCGGACACGAGCATCGACCCTTGGGCGGGATCTGCTAGTAGAACCGAAGGGCCTCCTTCGTGTGGGTGGGGAGCGGCGGCCGAAACCGTGAACCCCTTGAAGATGAGGTCTCCTCGGATATCGGCAATGTAGTTTAAACTTCCAAACCCGATCTGATGACCAGGGGTGGAGCTGTCGACCTGCTCGAGGTGATCGGTCGAGTTGGCACATAGCACGAAGCCACCAAACAGAAAGAGTTGACCAGGGAGAAAGGTCTCCCCGGAAACAGTGTCGTTGTTGATGACGAGGCGAGCCATCGATTCTTCTATTGACAAAACAAGAGAACTCCCAATGAAAGCACCAATGTCGGTGTCAAAACCGGCAGATGTCGGGTAGGGGGTCCCAAGTTGTGTGTCTGAGGATCGATGGTAACAAGGGACAATAGGGACACGATGTTTACCCAAGTTTAGGCCCTCTTAAAGGAGGTGAAACCCTACATCCTACTTGATTATATTCGGTATGTGTATAGGGGTTACAAGAGTTGATCTACCTCGAGATTGTAATGGCTAAACCCTAGCTGTCTAGCCTATGGTTGTTCTGATAGCCTCTACGGACTAAACCCTCCGGTTTATATATACACAGGAGGGGCCTAGGGTTAGACAGAGTCGGTTTACAAGGGAAGGAAATAATACATCTGGACACCAAACTTGCCGTCCACGCATATAGGAGTCCTATCCGGACACGGGGGATAGTCTTCTGTTTTATCTTCATGGCCCATTAGTCCGGCCCATATCGAATAGACCGGACACCCGATGACCCCCTGGTCTAGGACACCCTCAGCAGGTGACGGGCGTTGGTGTCAAGCTCAGAGATGTTCTGCTATCTTTTTAGTTTTGTCATGTCGGTCTTTACGTGACTTATACTTTGTTTTTCATGATATGAATGAGACATATTACCATGCAAAACACACACACATAGAGATAGAGATTCATTTTGTGAGAGACAAGGTAGCTCCGAGAGGTATGTGTTCTTCATGTTCCAACCAACGCTCAGTTTGCTGGTATCTTCACCAAGGGGCTTTGAATGGCATCCTTCATCAACATTTGTGCAGTCTTAATGTTGGCGAGCCCGCCGTTGACACTGTGCGGGGGTGGGGGGGTATGGGGTGTACCACGATCGGCAACACTTATACCACGATCACCCACATTTTCCACTAGTCTTTAGACTTCGGTTGTACTCGGCTACTATATGTAATCCCTCCCTGTACTCTGAATCGACGAGGAGACCATTCTCTGAAATTACACTAATTAGGGTCACAACAGACGAGCCAGACCAGCGCCGGCGGGAGGCACAGGAAACCCTAGCAGATGGGTGTCCTCGTGTACGAACGAAGGGGTATGAGCCTGGGTTGATTGCGAAATCATTGGTATACACTTTTTGCCGGAAAGTGCTCTTCTGCTCTCAAGCTCAAATGCTCCCTGATGAACAGTAAAATAAAAATAGTAAAAAATACAAAAAAATGTAAATGTTTTTTGTGGTAAATTTTGACAAATGTTTTATGCGCTTGACAAATTTCAGCATGAAAGGACATTCGTGGACGCCATGGAAAAAAAGAATCAACGCTCCAAAATGCTTTCAAAACTAGCATTTTTGGAGCATCGTTTGTTTTCACGACTTCCATGAATGTTATTTCTTGATAAATATTTGCAAGCCCACAAGACACTTGAGAATGTTTACCACAAAAATATTCAGATTTTTTTCATTTTATGTACTATTTTTAATTTAATTTTCATCAAGGAGCATTTGATCTTGGTATCAGATACTCCGTGTCCTTTTTACCTCATTTTCCTTTTTATTTTCTTGTGTTTCACCAATGGATGTGCCCTTGATGTATATTAGATACCGTTCATATTTTCCTTTACACCTATGGCATACCGATGTAATGCATGCTTTTCTTGTGGTATAGACATCGTCAACGGATCTGACATTTTAAGTTCGTTTGTATCTTGCATATCCTTATACGTCTCCATGTTGTACAAAATTCATTGATTATGTGGAATTGACTTTGTATATGTTTGAATCACTGATAGGACGTTTAGTTCCATAGCAGGAACTATGGCGCCAGTATCCTCGACAGTGTTCCATTGGCACCAACAAAGTTGAAACCATGCCAAGCTCAAAAACAAAGTTTTGATCTAAACGCCCTCCATTGCCACTTTCAAAGTGGCGATATACTTAGCCTCTGTTGTAGAATTCACCACAATATCCTGCTTGGAACAATTCCAACTTACTGTGTCACCACTATGTGTAACCATAAAACCCCGATTGAAATCAAAATTGACCGGATCAATGATGAAGATTGTAAGTACTTACATGGTTGGTCCTAATCTTCATTATGTCAAATGCACTCTTGATCATGGTTTGTCCATCACTCCGTCTGCTCCTACCTCTCTCACATCATACATTGATGTGATTGGGCAGGATGCCCGGACACTCGTTGGTCCACTTCTAGTTATTGTGTGTACTTGGGTGATAATTTGGTTTCTTGGTCTTTAAAAAGGCAAATAACCGTTTCCAGGACATCTGTGGAAGCAAAATATCGCTCTCTCGCTCATACAGTTGCCAAAACAGTTTGGCTTTGTCAACTTCTCACCGAGCAACATCGCCATCTTCATCAAGATACCATCGTTTATTGTGACAATGTACCAGCTATGTATATGTCTTGTAACCATGTTCAACAGGTAGAAACTAAGCACATAGAGATAGAGATTTATTTTGTGAGAGACAAGGTAGCTCGGAGAGGTACCTGTTCTTCATGTTCAAAACAACGCTCAGTTTGCTGATATCTTTACCAAGGAGCTTTCGATAGCATCTTTCATCGATATTCATGCAGTCTTAATGTTGTCGAGACCACAGTTGACACTGCGCGCGGCGGCGGGGGGAGGGGTGGGGGGGTGTTAGTCAGCACACCACCACACCACCACACACGCGCACATGTGTGTACATCGGACAGCATTAATCCTGTAAAACTTCTTTTATATTACTGTACATCGGACAGCACACCACCACATCCGCGCACATGTGCAACATTTTCTTGGCAGACTTGGCTAACTTGTGCCGAGATGGTTATGCCAGACTGGAGGCTAGCTAGGTGGTGTGCCTTGCCCGCAGAGCTACAAGATACTGATTCCTCCTTTCATATGCTACAAGATACTGACTCCATTCATATCCTACAAGATACTGATTCCTCCTCTCCGGGCTACGGTTGATTGATAATCAAACCCCATTGCCTAACTAGGCACTAGCAGCCGTTAATCTCTTTGATGCCACATGCACGGATGTATATCCAATTTGCTATATATACACCCCGGCCGAGTTGTGTCTGCACAGAGCACCACATAGGCAGAGAATCACGCAATCAAACCAAAGTGAGAGACCAAGAGAGATGGCGTCCAAGGCATTCCCTGCTCTGGTCCTTCTGGCGCTCGTCTGCGGCCAGCTTGTGGTCGACGGCCATGCCCAGCCCTACACCGGCGGCGGCCGCATCAGGGGAGGAGGATCTGCTCCCGGAATGCAGCCACCGACTTACCCCACTGCCCATGCCCACTCCTCCACCATTGGTAATCTACCTCTGTTGTTTCTCCGTTTGCTTGCCATTGATAAACCATTTCATTTTCCTGTCATTTCCCTGGTTCTGACTGTTGTTTGTTTGCATGTTCTGTGAATATGGCAGGAGAATACGATGGAGCTGGAAGGCCTTCAGCCGTGGAAGAAGACAAGGCCTTCATGGTCAACAGCCTGCCGGCGCACGACCGCCCGCTGCCTGTCCCGCCTTCCGCTCACTAGTCCGTCGAGGCAACGCAGTCGAGCTTGAGATCAGCGGCCCAGTGGCCAGCACTAATAATAGGAATAAATTTGTGTGAAGTTGTCCTGTGGTGACTCTGTTTCTGTCATCAGGGGTGTAAAAGCAGAGTACACCGAACTACTAATAAAAGTACTGTTGAGAAAGTTGGGACTTCACAGTGGTTTCAAGAGAACATATATAAGTTTGTTCCGAAATTCCGTTTACATCTTACCATGAACATAATATGGATGTATCTAAATCGTGCATGAACGTTTTCGATCTTGCACTGTTGTAATTAAAACTGTACATGGTTGAAACTACGACGACGTCTCGAACGAAACGATCCTAATCACTTGTCCTTGAGTTAGGTAAAGACTGCAAGCATATCGCAAAAAGAAGAACCGATATATACATCCCGGTTCCTCACTTTTGGCCAGATACCGCAACCATCGATCTGTATCTAGAGGCAGAAATACAGCAGTACGTTATGTAAATAAACTAGTATTAGAGACATGCCGTGCGATAGTTTGCGTATTTTCTGTGCTGATCCATTTTAGCTAAGAATCATCATGTGAACATCGTAAATCTTTACATTTTGTGTACAGGCAGACAAGTTCTCAAGGAAAGACATACAATCTTAGTCATTTCTTATTATCAAAGTAGTAATTTAACGACTACTGAAACCATTGACGTAACAAGAAGTTGTTTTCACACGCCCAAAAAAAAACAAGAAGTTGTTTTCAACATGTCGCAAGGTTTTTCCGGAAGGTCCCACTAGCCTTCATAAAGTAGGAAAATATTGGGTATGATAGTTGTTGAAAAGAAAAGAATGGCAGCTCTGTTATGACAGTATACAACATGGTGTAGCAGACCTAATTGCAAAAAATAAGGCCCTTTTTGATTAAGATATTTTTATGTGAATTTTGCAGAATTTCAACCCATATGGTTTTTAACATGTCATCGCAGTCTAGATACTAAGGTTATGCTTCAAATCGGAGAATTCCAATCCCAAGTTCAGAATAATCAATAAATGTAAACAGTATTTTGGTTTGATCGGGTGATATGCCGTTACTTTGTTTTTCTAGCCATGTCTTCACGCGGTCCACCTGTGCTTTGAATTTTGTTTCCAGGAGAAAAGGGAGACCTGCCCGTTTGTTATCTTGGTATAAAGAGGGAAATTTTCTAACTTCTACTCCCTCCGTTCCATATTTCTTGTCATGTTTTTAGTTCAAGAATCCATGCCGTCAGCAGTTGCTCTTGAATCTTCAATGCAATCTGTGGTGGCCTGGTGGGTGATAAATTGCACATGCATTATCATGTTCACTCTAAACAAATTATTTTCATGGCATGATCTATTGTAATCGACACTGGTATCTCTGAGCATGTAGCAACGTGCAACATGATCTGAGCATTGGATTTGTTAACAAAGGCGCTAGCAAGATAATAGTGCGTAGATGTTAATTTGAAACACAAAGCAGGTTAAGGTACGGACGCAACCCTGGGGTGTACACAGTACACACTAAACAAAAATGTGCAGAGTAAAAATGAGCCAAACAAATTAAGTTTATAGTATGGTTCGATCTAATTTAATCAGCACACGCATCCTCCCAACAGCATACGGTAAAAGTATAACACCTGCCTGGTAAAAAAACTAAAATTGATGTAAAGAACTGAATGCACAAAATCCATCTAGAAACAGTAGCGGCGTATTGTGTCTAATAATTGCATTCGGTCGCTAAAATAACATCAGTACCAAGTACGCCTAACTATGTAAGACTGCATACAATGATCTCCAAGAGATACAGTACAATTGTCTTCACTACTAAGTATAGTGTAGCAAAGGGAAACTCCCAACAGCCAGATGTTCACCCAAGTGAGCTCTTCAGCAAACATTTAGGCCAAGAATTGTAATCTGGTACATAGTTCGTCGTGATGGATATGTCGGGCATGCTATCAGAAGGGTGGGGGTGAGCGGCCCAGAGGTCTGAAGAGCAGGCCACAACAATCTTGGAGCGGGCAGCAAGAACAGAGGAGTTAGAAGCTGCGCCAGAAACATTCGTCAGTTTCAGAGAATCAGAGCTATCTGATTCAAACAGAAAGAAAAAACTTCAAGGGAAGAAAGCTAAACGACTAATGTAGACCTCGCCACTTAAATTGCACTTCGATTTAGCTAACCCCTAAACAACTAACCAACTAACTGAATGAATTGTTTCTTCATTTCCTTTTGAGATGTTAACTTAATTTATTGGTGATTCCGGTGGCAAAAATGTGAATTCCAAATTTTCATTTGCTTACCGAGGATTCAACTTACCAGGATACAAAGAAGACAGCCCCACAGTACCAGGGCTAGTGCCACCCAGAAATCCAGAGCCTCCCAAACCTGCTCCTCCAGGCCCATGAGGATCCATTCCACTACAGCTTCACATGAACTCAACTAGGACATAGTTTTTTCCCGGAGAATATGCCAAGACTTGATGCGACAGTACAAAGAAGAATCAGAAAAAGTTATAGATTGTAGCCTTTAACTTACAAAGAAGAATCAGAAAAATTAAATGTGTTTTCCTCCAGGCCATAACACTAGCATGTTACATGCCCCTCATGTCTTGCAAATTACCATGAAGGTCACTCAGTGCAGTCACACAATGTTCGTTCATGTTAAGTCTTGCACATAGAAAATTTAGGAGGTAGTTCCATGTTTATGTTGTGTTAGATATCCATATTTCTCTTGTGTTGTGGATCTATTTAGTCAGAAAAAATCTGCTACTCCTAGTAGCATGCGTTTAATGATGTGGCTGCAATGTTGGTTGACTCATCTGAAAAATACACTGGTTACTAAACCTTGTTCAGATGGTTTTGGACACAACTAGGTTACTGCTAGGGTCAGTAGCCTGCCTATATAGAACAGCTTCTACATTGTATAGAACCACCCAAAGTGTCTTCTGCCCCTATGGACTTAACCAACCTTGGGTTTCTTCCTCCTGGGCAAGTTTTCATTGCGTGTTTGAGTTCGATACTAGCAAGAGAAAAACAGGGCAAGTTTCTTCATTTTTTCTACTCTGGTTGGTAACAATCTGTGAACTACTAGTTTGTATCTGATTTCACACGCCGGCTTTTGAAAGTCACCAACAAGGTGCAACATAGAGTAGAGCCCTGATAATGGCATTCATGTACTGAAATAACATCAGTGTCAGGTAACTAGGTAAGGCTGCATACAATGACCTCCAAGAGAAATATAACTAGGTGAAGAATGCATAGATGTACAGTAAGAACTAGCGCCTGTGCAACTACTACTCTGCAATGCTCCAACTACTATGCATCCTTAGCTTACTCTTAGACACATTTGAGTTCAAGGTGATTGGTTACAGGTCGTGGAAAAACAGAGGATGTAAGCTTAGACCAAACAACACCGAATACAGTTTAAGGTGAAGAGGCTTCTTCATCCATCGCCAGTTACACCTACCAGATCAATTAATCTGGATGATGGAACTTACATTTACATCTTACTTCTAAATTTTGAAGTAAATGATCAGAGTGACTTTCAACTTACTTCTACAGTTGTATTGCCACACAACAGGCTTGTGCTATCCTGCTCGAGACATGAACAAAAAATATGGAACCTGGCCTGACAATGACAAACATTTCTTGTGCTTATTAGTACAGGTTTTGTTTCTTCAACTTTTGTTCAGATCATGCATCACATGAAGCACTACTCCTTAAAATGTATTTTTTTTGAAAGATCCGGGTTCACCGGCTTCATTGATTTAGAAGAAAGCAGCGGGAAATACATGAGTGATCAAGTGATCGTGGTTTTAAAAGAGCTAAGAATGACCAAAGCTAGGCCAGCTGCATGACCAGTGTGTTTTATCTCGCTACATCTTCCCCGAACAGGGCCTCAATGCATCGAGCTCCTGCTAGCCGCCAGAGCTCCATCGTGTTCTTGATGGCTCGCTGAACATCCTCCGTCTGAGGCGTTTTTCCTCTAAACACACACGCGTTCCTCTCTTTCGAAAGCTCCAAAGTGATCAGCAGCAACATCGTCCTTAGCCCCTTTTTGCAACTTTGAGGCGTTAGAGCGGCCAGTCTTTCCCAATGCCTGAGAGAATTATGACCTGCGTCCCGCGCTTCTTTGAGCACAGCGCAACCATATCTACGTGACACTGCCTGCCAAATTGATCGGGCAAAAGGGCAGTCCCAAAAAAGGTGGACTGAGCTTTCCAGATTTCTATTACAGCAGATGCAGAAATACCCATTGGGCCACCCTCGCCGTTGTAGACGATCGTTGCACCAAAGCTTGTCTTGGTGGAGCAGCCAAGCGAAGATCTTCACCGTGTCTGGCGCCCAAGCCCTCCAAATCGTAGCTTTGGCTCCTGAAGGAGGGATGTCACTGATTTGTAGATCGTAAGCAACCTTGGCCGAGTCGTAGTAGTTTCCTCCTCCTCTGGTTGCCACCCAGCTGATCGTGTCCTCGTCGGAGGAGAGAACAATGCCTGCGCCCTGAATCTTCCTCCACATTTGCAAAAACTGGTGAGCAATCTCTGCTGTGTTGCCATGCCGGAGGTCACGTACCCATGTGTCATTTGCCAGCGCATCATGAACCGTCCTGTTTTTCCTTCTGGTATGCTGAAACAAGTCTGGGAACTCATGTTGCAGCGCCACCGGCCCGATCCATTTGCAAGTCCAGAAATGCGTTGTTTTTCCGTTGCCCAAGTGCACATTGGTGGCAGATGCAAACAGCTCCAGGTCCTCCTTGACACATGGGGCCGGGAAGTTCATCCAGGGTCGGCGTGGCTGTTGCCAGGAGAGCCACTACCAGCGTAGCCGGAGAGCTGTGCTGAAACGACGGAGGTCCAGCAAACCTAGCCCCCCCCCCTTGTCCACCAGAAAATAGACTTTTCCCCAGGCCACCTTGCATTTGGCGCCAGTGACATTCTCATCATGAGCCCATAGAAACTGCCTCTTTGCTTTGTCCACCTCTTTTAGAATCTTCTTCGGCACTATGAGT